TATGAAGCATCTTTTCTTCATGCTGCTACTTAACAATGTGCAAGTATAATGAGAGCCGTTATTAAGCTGGCTTGTAATATTTTCTACATATTTAATAAGCAATTTTATTATGCAGCGTACTGTAAAAGCATTTATAAAACGGCTTATCGGCGATAAGATATCTTATCCAAAGTAGACTAATAATTATGTTTATATCCAGCGTACAGTCTCCGCGAAGGGGGCTCGATTAAAGATTTGTCTCTTCTCTCTTTTTTTTCCCCCTCTAAAATTCTTAGAAATAAAATTCACAGGCATCGCTTGCATTCTTCCTTCCTTCAAACACTGACTATCAGCTAACAACACAACGGCGTGCTCGAACAACAAATAACAGGTTAGCCATCGTGATATGAAATATGATTACTCCGGTTCGGCGTACGGATCGCATTGGTCAGCCGCGTTGGAGTTTTCAGCATGTCGGTTTGTCAGGGCGTGCCGGTGTCCATGGATGGATCGGTAACACGTTCAGAATTTTCAACCGTGTCGCGCATCCAGCGACAGACAGAAACAGAGGGAGGAAGAGAGAGAGAGAGAGGGGGGGGGGAGCGGGAGGAAAAGGGAAAGAGAGAGTGAGAGAGAGAAAAAGGCAGGCAGAGGAAGGCAGAGAAAGAGGGCGCACGTGAGAGGGTGCGAGATGAAGAGGAAGAGAGAGAGAGAGAGAGAGGGGGATGGAGAGACAGAGAGGGAGGGGAGGGAGGGAGAGAGAGAGAGACAGAGGGAGAGTAGAGAAGTGATACGAGCAGGCATCGTGCGCACAGCACACGGAGTGTACACACAGCACGAACTTGTTCGGGTTGGGATAGAATAGGATAGGTGGGGCCGTTATTAATCTGGTGTCGAGTTGAGCACAAAGTTATATAGGAGCTCAGGAAATGAAACACGAGAAACCTCCCTCTCCGCCTCCCGCGGCCTTTCTCCTCTGCCCCCTCCGTCCATGTCCACCTACTTCACCTACCTCTCCTATCTCCTCCTCTTTCCAACACTATCCGAGGAGAGTCGCCGCGTCCCCCTTTCTGTCCCTGCAGTCCCTACGTCCAACTTTGAATGTATTACCGGACCGCCACTAACCCTCTCCATCCCTTCCAGTCTCCGGTCAGATGGAGATATAACGATCACCGGCACATGAGCCATGGGCCCGCGGAGACATGCATATTTATGTCGCCTGCCTGTATTCTAAGGCCGCCGGTGACACTCGGCTTGTCCTTCCTGAACTCTTCCGCCGCGCGCAAACAATGGTAGTTGTACAACTGTCGCGGTCAATGTGCTCGGAAGAGATCCAAAAGCAGTTGCCTCGGGCCAAGGATTAATGTTCGATGCGTTATTAGCTGTTGTAACCGCGCCGAGAGTGCCTTTCGCAAACAAATTTTTCTTATCGAGACTACAATGTGGCGCACACGTACGCGGGGAAGCTATTTTAAAACGATGACGGAATAACGATCCAACGATCAGTACACGGAAGCAAGTGGTTCATCACTCTTCATTAATTCACTACTTTGCCCCTAATTGCGGATAATAAAAGATTAACAGAGAGATCGCCGAAGCAAAAAGTCATGAAATATGAATGCGTGGGTTGTCACCCGGCTTTCAGGAGTTCTTTTGATAGCCGACTACGCGCAGGGTAGAGCAATGAAATTAATCGGTTTTACACCGGCGTGGCGAGGGGGTTGGACTTGGAAATGTTGTTGGCAGCCAGGGACCACGGCCGCGGGCGGAGAAAAAGCGTGAGGGGTGTCCATGATTAAAATCGCATCAGACCGTCCTTGATGCACGAAATGCCCGCGTTACCGCGTCGCCGTGCCTCTTGAGTAGCCGGCGCGATCGGTGTACGTGTCCGTCTACGTGTGTACCGCCGCCACCACCAAGTACGTGAGCGTTATCTCCCATGCTTTCGTCCTCCCTGTTCGCCTTATTTCCAGTCGACTCCGTGCCAGCCGTCACAAAAACACGAAGCTTCGTTTGCCGCTGATGGGCTTATAATTGCGGAAACGGTGCTTGCTATGGCCGCCACGGTGGTGGCATGAGCGACTTGCATGCCGTCTATTTTGTCTCCCAGACTGGATTGTCATCTCCTCTTTTTATGGACACGTGTAATGCCAGCGAGACCGACGAAGCGCCTAATAATCGGTAAAGACTTTGCCCATTTCGAGTAATTCTCGCGCTTCCGAGGAAAGCGCTTTTTAATGTCTGAACAATCGTCGGAAATTTAATGCATGGGGGTTAGTCGAGCAGCGATCGTGACTCCAGCAGCAGTCGATCGCGCTTTTTCCCCAGGGGTGGCAAGAAAGGCGAAGGCGGGAGTGAAAGGCGCGTGTTCGGAGATCGAAAGAAGGAGAACGGGAAAGGAACAGAGTGAAGACAAATGCGAGGGCCATCAGAGCACCAAGCCATTTCTGCCTCATTGTGGACTCCATTTGCGACTCTTAGATTGTCGGTGAAATATCTCGCCGCGGTGATGGAAAAATCGCTAACGTAGGGAACTGGCAAAATAAAACTAGCGGCATTTCTCACGAGTAGGGACGGACTTCGAGTGCCTGCTATCCGGCACGGTAAGGAGAGTATCGTTGCAAAAACCGGAAAACGATAGAGTAGCTCGGGATACAACTTAACCGAGGGAAGTCCGCATCAAACTTTAGAGCTGTTGATAACTTCATGTATATTTGCTTTGTATGTACATACGGGATCTTCTGCTACTGCCTGTGTCTTGTTTCTCATTTTGCGAACGCAGCTTCTTTTTTACCTTAACTAATCTCGCATATCTATATTTTATGTATTATTAATTTCATAATTATTAACAAAGTTGTATACGAGAAACGATGTTTCTTCATCGAAATATCACGATTTACTCTCATACAATTTTAGACGAGAATTCGTATTGCCATTAGATCAGTATATATACAAATTATAGGCGATATTTTGCTTTAAAACGCGCGTTGTAAAGTTTCGAATACGAGAAAGAAGCTGAAGAAAGTACCGGTAATAGATGACAATGTAGAAAGAAGCAAGCGGCATCTCTACTAGCACGATATAAAGAGACTTTTTTCACTTGGTGATGGATCGCTCGTGGCCGAACTGGTGTAACAGAAAGAAGAGAGGAAGAAATCACGAGCGAACGAAGGTTCCCTATGGGGATGTGGTAGCGTCATTAGGCTGGTCCGAGCGAGCTAATGCACCATCCGTCGGATTTCGCCGGAGGCCTTTGGAAAAACCGAGTGAGGTCAGCATGTAAGTCCAGCATGAAGAACGATGAGAGCGCGTAAATGGCGCTCTGGTAAAAGTTGCCAGACTTAGAGATTCCTATGATTGCTCCATATTGAAAGAAATCATTAATTTCGGCACGTAAACTTAAAAATCAAAGAAACACGTCGCTGCGCATGAATGAAACAACAATATCAAGTGCTTAAATTTATAGATAAAGAGAACTTTGCACGTGCGATGCTTCCAACTTCGGGTAATCTATCCCTATTTTCCATATACCTCTTGCGCATAGAAAAATATTAAATCCATAACAGGACTCGGGGGGGGGGGGGGGGACAATGACATTTCTCCCACGATACGAGCGCGGTGTAGCGAGATTTCAACGCGTGGATGCTACGTTTTCTTTCGATAATAAAAAGACAAACAGAACCACGCGCTATTCGCGAAGAAGAAGAAGACAGCGAGAGAATGGAAAAGAAAGAAGGAAAACGCTGGTCGGGGTTGCGTAGGGGGTTAAATGCCGAAGGGATACGAGAAGGAAAGTGTAATCCCAAACGATCAGCGTGCGGCAGATTCGGCCTTAATGAGCTCCCGCAATGATAAATGATACCGTGGGCCGCGCCTCTCTCTCTTACCGCGTTTATCCACCAGTCAGAATAGGGTGTATCCATGTACGGGGTACAGGTCGGCGTACTACACGGTTCCTCTGCGCCTGTACCAACGTACGACGGCATCCATCCTACTAGCGAGGAGCTCCCCGATCTCTCGTTCTCGTTCCACCGCGCCGCGTGAAGCCTTCATCTCCGCCTACGATTCCTCAAACTCGGCCCCGGGATTGACCACGGAGGAATTCAAAATGGCAACTTTAGGCTCGGTCGGAGCTATCTCGTGTGAGTGACACCTATCCATCCCTCGCTCCTGGACGTTTCAATCGAGCGCCCTTCGGGCATCTCAGCCGATGTATCTCCGCAGAAATGACGTTTAAATAATAACTTATACGCTCATCGAGAAAATATGTTCTCTACGAATTTGAGGCTTACTTTATTCTTACGAAATGTACCTTTAAACGACAAAAATTCTATAATTGTTAAATAACTATTGCATCTCATTTTGTAGCATTTAAAAAAATAATTTTTTATCAAGGGTTGGTATTAAAAATTTCGTATTACTTAAAACATTTTTTATGCTTTGTGGGGATGTGAAATTAAATGGCCAATAAAAGCGAATACTTTTTCATACAAAGGATATTATTACGTTTACGCGAGCGTGTCATTTCTTGAACGCTATTCATCATGCAACGCTCATCTTTTTCCCAAAGGTCGAAGCGCTTGTAGCTATTAATAGTCCACTTCCAAACTGACAACCAGTGATCCATTTTCAAGACATTTCAATTTTCAGGTGGGTCTTCGGTCACTCAAGAGACAAAGATAGGGATCGATTGTATTCACTCTTAAAATTACTCACTTTGAGGTTCACAAATTCCCGAAGGCTCTCGTCAAAATGACTTACAAGCTGACGAAAGTCAGCCGCTGAGTAATTTTTTTCCTACCTCTTCGAAATTCTTTGAAACCTTACATTAAAACGAAGCGGACAGTTTTCGTTATTAGATTATGTATCAGTTTAATTTTATGCTTCATTTGCTTGAAAATATAATTAATAGATTTATGACAAACCGCGAGTTTTGTGTTTGTTTTAAGACGCATTAATTGCCCATTAGAATCTTGCTATACTATTTAGATCGTCGTTATAACGCTCTTCTTATTTCGCAGACAGCAGTCTGTGGATCAACCTGGCGCAGCTGCCGTCGACGACTAGCTGACAGGTGATTTCGTCTCGGTGAAAGAAGGTGATTGCCTCATTACAGCAACTAACTATAAGCAGGTAATAATCTCACAACTTTGTTCTTTTCTTTTACTGCTCGTGCAATAATTATATACAAGCAGTAAAGTAAGTGAGTTGTCAAGTATATAAAACTGGAACGCTCGTTGAAGGCTGAAATTTCTTTATCGAGGAAGAAAATCTTCCGTCGATTATAGCTTCTCACAATTTATGCTCTCATTATTTATGCAGTCTTATTATGTCCCGACGTCTTATTGTTATTACTATTATTGCATTAACATCCTGTCCAATTAACGACCATTCATTGCTACCGGCGCTAACGTCTAATCTCACCGCAGAATGTAACAATTTGACTTATTTAGCGATAATTAATCCTCGGACCGCGGTGTGCGCGGATATGTTGCATCCGGAGTTTATCTCCGCTCGTATTTAAAAAAATTAACGGATTAAAAAATGGCAAGTGTCACGGCAAACGGAATGCCGATACGCGACGTCACGGTGACGATTCCTAGCACTTGCCATCGCTACGGTGGAAAAGGCGAGCGCAATTTCCGGTGCATCACCTTCCACCGCAACAACGTACAAAGAGCGAGGAATCTTTTCGTTCCTGTGAATGCCGTGCATTAATCAAGCGCCGCGGGCGCCTGACGTCTTAATCTGCTTAATCCTCGGTGGCCTACGCAACATCCTGCACGCCCACGATTCTATGTACGTACTAAACGCCAGGTACGTCCACGATCGCGGCCTTTGTCAGGACGTAAGGTTCTTGTCGTGAGATCGGTTGTAACAACGTGCGCAGTAACGGGACTGCGCGGTGCATACGAAGTTGCATGGCAGATGAGTAATCGGCGCGATATCGATATTCGCGTGGAATGAAACGACCGAGCGTACGCGAGAGGAGAGTATTCATTGCTGGATGAAGAGGAACAGTTATCCCGCGCGGATTCGAGAAATGATTAAAAATATATACGTGCGAGCGCACTTTCTCGGCTTCGCGGTAATGAGCCTGACTGTCGCTCCGCGTCCGTGCGATTAATATTTTAAGTAAAAATTCAGTTTGACTAGACGTTGTGTATTAATGTCTAAAGATACGTTGGACGAAAACTGATTGCGAGACTCGAAATGTCGTTTATAAAGGGTTGCTTCCAACGTGGCCGAGTAAATCCTACTAAATGGATACCTCTACTTCACGTATGGAATTGTGGCGAATTAACGAGCATGAATACGGGTTCTTAATTAAAGGATTCTTCTTTAAGAGAATCGTCTCTGTAATGAAGATAATTCAATGATCGAGTGAATAAAACAGAAAAGAGAGAAGGCCGCGAAAGATCGAACGGGGCCTAATCTTACACACGACCGACATCGTTTCGTGGGTGTCGTGCTTTCACTTGAAGGCAGTTTGACTGCAGGAGGCGATTGGTTCTCGCAGGGCTCCTCCCAGAAGCCATTAGGAGCCGAAACGGAGAAACAGCATTAATTTTAAAACCAATCCTGGAAGAGAAATCGGGCATTGGCCGCCATTCGTGCGAGTCCACGATGAGGAGAAAATCTTCCAAAAAAAGTGCTGCCTTAATTGCTCGATCGTTTTATCTCTCACCTTTCGGAAACAAGCGATTCACCTCGGATAAGTAATTAGATCGACTCTAATTTTTGAAATTACATCGCTCGCGTCGCTTGAATATACGCAGGTATAAAAAGAATGTTTTTCCGAAAAAATTTATTCCCATCCTCCCACTATACTATAACCGGTAATAAGATCAAATAACGTTAAATGTCTCTACAGAGGTTACACGAGTAATTATGTGGAATCGTGCATTTCAATCGTCGCGTATAAATTTTTCTCTTTGAAAATGGAGTCTCTCTTTTATCGTGTTACACATAATCTCTTTTATTGTTATGCATATACAGGAAAATATAGCAACGTAAAGGTGTTTTATCGATTTCATCGATTTGTTGGCACCTGTGTGCTCGGCTAGTTACCACTTTAATAACCGGTAAGGCCGAATCGTGAAATATTTAAGGAGCAACGGAGAAAATCGATGTTAGAAAGAAAGGGAAGCGTATAGTCGAGTACAAGAGAGATGAGGAGGGATAAGGAACAGAGACGTGGAATAAGAAGAGAGTAAGGTTTAGGTAGCTACTCTCGGGTTGAAACGGAGGGAGCCGCCTTGTGTTTGTGCTCTCGCCGGGGAGCACAAAGAGAAATGGCGAGGTATTTATCAGTGCTCACCCCCTCTATACCCTTTTGTCCCCTTTTCCATCGGCCCTCCGTTTCTCTCTACCGATCTTGCCATCCTCGTCCGTCTCTCCTACTATTACCTTGCCTCCATTCTATATCCAAATCCATTCGCTCGGCTGCCAAACCCCTCTTTCCTCTCTTCCGTAAGCTCTCTGATGCCCTTTCGCGCACCACATATATGAGTACTCCATCTTCTCCTACAGAGGACTTTGACAGCTGTCTAATTCACGTTTCACATACGGTTACCTGGGTACGCGGATTTCCTCGTGTGTTTCCCACCCGCGGGCGGCTCTCAGACATTTCGATCTACCGCACAAGGAGGGTTACAAACTTGTTTTTAAAACAAAAACTTTTCAACACATTTTGATTGGATCTTACTACTGCGGCAGAGAAATTTTACGATATGCATGGCGCACCTATTTCAGATGTCGCGTAGGGGCAACGAATTTATATTTGAAGCAGCTATTTTAATTTGTCCATCCATCTGCTTTACATTTCCCTCTCCTTCATTGGAAGAAATCCAAGATGTTCGTACTTTTGAAACGCGCAAGGCTCGCGACGAGTAATTACAATTTGCTTGCGATCGCATTAAAGTTTAATTGAAAAGAAAGCCAATATTATTAATGATTGTCAATGAAAGCGATCGTAGATCACCGTCAGTTACAATCTCTCTCGCTGGAAAAGGTATTTCAGTAGCCAGGCATCTTCATGGGTGACCCCCAAGATGAATACAGTCGCCCAAATCCATGGGGCGAGTCCAAGTAGTATCCAATCAAAACGACGTGGGTAATATACCGTGAAATCTATATTTGCTCTAGAAGAAATAGGGCACTTTCAAATACCTGGCGAAGGTAAAAAATGCCCCCTGACTGTAGATTACATTCTGTTACCCGACGTCGACAATTTTGATTCGTCACAAGTTAACAAATAAAAGATGGAACAATGGGAGAGAAGAAAAGGCGGTATTTTTAAATCCCCCTTTTTAAAGGGCGGTTCGCTAAATCGACTTTGCCGTTCTACTGTAATTTCTTATCCTTCCCGCATTGAAAGCTCCCAGCTTTCTTATGGCGTTCGCCACCCCACTTCACTCGAAATTCTCTTCGACCCCTGGTCCGACCCCAGCCAACGAGAGGTCTTATCGGTTTCGATTATTGTTTGTTATCAGCATTTAAACATTTATGGTTCTCGGGCTTTGTTGCAAATGTCCCGGAATAAATGGTGAACCATAGAGCCTTAGAAAGCACGAGATACTGTCTGCACGCTCAAAGCGCCACAATTATTTTATACCGCCTTATAGAATAACTATTTGACAACGTGTGCGCGTGAGTTATCTTTCAATATAAAACGATTTAGTTTACGCGCGCAAGATGAATGGATTTAAGTACGTGATAAATAGAATGTCTACTGAATAATCTGAAAAAATGATTAAACATTATTAAAAAGTACCGTACGGTCAATCTTACCGCCGCAAAAATCCAAACAGAATCATAAAATCGCGTGTTTGCATGGCGCTTATTTGCAACGACATTAGCGGGGCCATGCGCGAGTCAAAACATTACACAAAGTTTTTGGGAAGAGGTGGAGAAGACTAATAATCTCGAAATAATGTAAGCATAATAAATGGCCGGGCATTAGCGAAGCGCTCGGCAGCCGGCTCATATTTTCGGTGGCGCTGGGTTTGACGTAACATTACTCCAAAGTGCGTTACATATTACTACCATATATATGTATTTGTATTTTCGCCCGTGTGAGCCACGCAACATATTCTTCCAACAAGTCGCACTAACATGATATTACATTTTGTTTCCCGTTTTCTTCAGTGACTCCCACTGACAAATACTTTCCAATCAGAAATTGGAGATAAACGTTAAAGATAAACGTCCCTGTGGTTCTTGCGGTAAGTGACGCGCGTACACGTACACTCAACTCGATTATATAAAAATAGCTTCCAGTGATGGAACCATCAAGAATAAATCCTTAAACAAATAAAATTCATAAGGCTCCGATGTGAAATCACAGATACCAAGTAATAGAGGATAATAGAGCCAAGACGGATGCTGGTGTCTAAATGATTTTAATGTTTAAATGTATCATATCATTGTGCATTGTAAATCCTTAATTTTTAGTTTACGAACAAGTTAAATTTATAAGAAACGAGAAGCCTGTTAGATACAAGGCAAGATGTAGATTGCCTAACAATTTTTTATATGTGAGTTTTTATACCGTTTTTCCACCTGTACTTTCTTTTCTGACATATATCACAGTTTTCGTATCGGTGGAATTATTGTCGTCGGCAAATTCACGTATCTAAGTCGATGAACTAATCTAATTATTAAAAATGCAATAAGATAAATTTAATTAGTCTGTTTGAGATAAGGACATACTGAGTAACTATTTATCTTTCCACGTATTTAAAAATATATTTAGCGCAAGCTGCATTAATATAGTGGCATCGAGTTAATCATTGCCTACCATACTTGCGCCTTTCAATGCAGCTTTTTGCGATGCATCCGTCACATACGGTTACCTTTATAAAATTTACTTAATTGTCCATAATTAATGTGCCTGTAATCAGTTAATAATTATGCACTCTTAACGAATTATACAAGCAGGAAATTATTTCTAGGTGCGCAAGTAATTATGCTAGGAATTTCTACGCCTTAATTGATTCGCGGAACTGCAGGAGCGCTCAGGGTTTATATACCATATCGCGGAATCAAGCACTAAAAATTATTGCTTGGATTGATTACTTCCGGGTTGTTACGAAACACAGATTTTCCCTGCTGCGTCCCCCCATTCTCTC